TTCTTAATTATTGATATGACTGTATTTTAAAGGATATTCAATGGTTTGGAAATCTTGTGGCATTGCTTAGAGAGTCCTTTTTTCTTCTTTTGTTTATGTGAGTTCTGCCATTATCAACCTTGTTTTCAGCATAAGAGCGACCGAGGCCATTTGTATCTTGAAAGTGCGAGTTCCTGTGTCATCTGCTTCCAATTCATTCAACCTTTAGAACCAACGGCCTGCACCAGTGATGATATCGGTGCGTTACATTAATATATACTAAAGCAATAAGCCCCACAAACGGCAGTTAAGCAGTAACACTAATGCAATGCGCTCACAGGTGTGTGTTTGTTGAGTAATTTACAGCGGCTTCGAACGCGGGTCAACCAATCAGAATCAAGGACCGGAACTATCCGTTTTATAAATTGATTTTTATTCTTTTAGATCACTAACAGTAGACACATTTGTTTTAATTTTCAATCGTTTACTTTTGATTGGTCGTTAAAAACCCACAAAAGTCCAGTAAAATGACAAACCGTGTGCATGTCCAGGGAGTGAAAACTTTTTATAGAGACTGTAATTAATTAGTAGAATCACTGTAATAAATAAAGTATGGTTTTACCTGGACTGAGGGACAGTTTTGTCGACAAAAAGAAATATGGCTTTTTCAGAAGGCAGTTGGATCCGCTTTCTGATGATCCACATGAACTGGGCCACTGTGATGTCAGACGGGACCAGATACTTCCGCTTGTCAATGTCCACAATCTGTGAACCAGATACTTTCTCTACAATAACCTGATAAACACAAGAAAGAGCAAATACAGCCAATTATGCTTTAAATCTTAAGCCCTGAGGTTGTGACAATATAAAGTTGTTTTACTGGTATGACTCAACTCGTACACAGAATAAACAATAAACAGACACACCAAGAGTTAAACGAAAAGCAAATGCCAACACAATAGATGGCGCAACTTTTCAGATGGTCTGGCAAGTTCAACACAAATTTTAGCAATAAATATACACCGCGTTCCAAATTATTATGCAAATTATATTTTACACTGATTTTCCTAAATAGTCGATGCAAATGACAGTCAGTATAATTTTCCAGTCACCAACCGTTAGGGTTTAAGTCAAATTTCATTGAACAAACCACCCAACGAAAACAGTATTTTTTTCAAAAATAAAAAACTCAAAATGCACTGTTCCAAATTATTATGCACAACAGAGTTTGAAAACATTGTATAGGTTGTAAAGAACTAAAAATGGTCATTTGTTGAATTTGCAGCATTAGGAGGTCATATTTACTGAAATCAAAAGCTATTTCAATCAAACTCATCTTAACAGGGCAAGTTACATGTTAACATAGGACCCCTTCTTTGATATCACCTTCACAATTCTTGCATCCATTGAAGTTGTGAGTTTCTGCTTGAATTTCTTTGCAGGATGTCAGAATAGCGTCCCAGAGTTGCTGTTTTGATGCGAACTGCCTCCCACCCTCATAGATCTTTTGCTTGAGGATGCTCCAAAGGTTCTCAATAGGGTTGAGGATGGGGGCCACACCATGAGTTTCTCTCCTTTTTTGCCCTTAGCAGCCAATGACACAGAAGTATTCTTTGCAGCTTGAGATGGTGCATTGTCATGAATGAAGATGATTTTGCTACGCAAGGCATGGTTCTTCTTTTTGTACCATGGAAGAAAGTGAGAAGAAGAAAGTCAGAAACTCTATGTACTTTGCCGAGGTCATTTTCACACCTTCAGGGACCCTAAAGGGGCCTACCAGCTCTCTCCCCATGATTCCGGCCCAAAACATGACTCCGCCACCTCCTTGCTGACGTCGCAGCCTTATTGGGACATGGTGGCCATCCACCAACCATCCACTACTCCATCCATCTGGGCCATCCAGGGTTGCACGGCACTCATCAGTAAACAAGACTGTTTGAAAATTAGTCTTCATGTATTTCTGGGCCCACTGCAACCGTTTCTGCTTGTGAGCATTGGTTAGGGGTGGCCGAATAGTAGGTTTATGTACAACTGCAAGCCTTTAGAGGATCCTACACCTTGAGTTTCGCGGGACTCCAGAGGTACTAGCAGCTTCAAATACCTGTTTGCTGCTTTGTAATAGCATTTTAGCAGATTCTCTCTTAATCCGATGAATTTGTCTGGCAGCAACCTTTCTCATTATTCCTTTATCTGCACGAACCCGTCTGTGCTCTGAAATCTCTTCACAGTACGATGATCACGCTTAAGTTTTCGTGAAATATCTAATGTTTTCATACCTTGTCCAAGGCATTGCACTATTTGACGCTTTTCCGCAACAGAGAGATCCTTTTTCTTTCCCAAATTGCTTGAAACCTGTGGCCTGCTTAATAATGTGGAACATCCTTCTTAAGTAGTTTTCCTTTAATTGGGCTCACCTGGCAAACTAATTATCACAGGTGTCTGAGATTGATTTCAGTGATCCAAAGAGCCAGGAGACACAATACCATCCATGAGTTTGATTGAAAAACAAAATATATTTTTTTATGACACTTAATTCCAATTTGCATAATAATTTGGAACGCGGTGTACAGAGGAAACACAAACAGTCATTTTTTTTTTTTTTTGTATAGTGGAATTTAATAAAAGTCACTACCAAAATATCCAGTGTTCATTCAAACTTCACAGTTTTCCAAAACTGCATTTTGAGAAAAACAGAATCTGTTTTCTTTGTGAGAGAAGAGCGAGAGACTGTCCAGTGTCTTTTATAATCATATATGCTTTACTACAAGCATCAAACCCAACTTTTAAAATGGAACTTCATTAACTACAATAAAAAAATACTGTTTATTGTAAAAAACATGGCAGTCAGTTTGGTTTGAAATGTGCTGGGGACAGAGACGCATTCGGAAGGGCATTTTCAAAAGTGCTGGGTACAATGACGCATTCATTCTTTTTTCTCTTTCGCGCAGGTCATGTTTTGAAAGACGATGTCCTGTAGCTTACTGATGTAAATAAATAAAAATGTATACAAAGATGTGATGATGTCCGACCAAAAATGTGATGGTACTTTGGGTTTAATTGGTCGTACAATGAGATCTAATATATGTTGTTAGTATCGTAAAGTTATTGTAAAGCGATAATGTTTATCAGTGGTTGTATATCAAGAATCTTGATATACTTTATCACTGATAAACATTATCGGTTTTGATGAGGGGAAAAAAAACTATACGAGTGCGGATTAGAACCCAGAGAAGCAGGGACACGTTTGTGTGCATTTTGATTTGTGATTTCACCGGAACGAATAGAATCTCTGCAACGGATTGAAGCGCGCGTCCGAGTGAAGACAACACATTTCAGCGCTAGATCGCCTCTTATTTAACAAATGAATGAAACGAATGCTGCTAGTTAACTGGAGATGTTTTATTTGTATTGGTACATCCGTGCCGCGAGATGTTTCAAAAGTGGTGGGGACAATATCGACCCTGGCAAAAAGTGGTGGGGACATGTCCCACCCGTCCCCCCCGTAAATGGTAAAAAATAATAATAAAAGAAATTTTTCAATTGTAAGAGACACAAAAGACTACAAGCAGCAGATAAAGTGTTTGTCTTAAGCAAGAACAATGTGTGAATGTTTGCAGAACATTTTATGAAAATAACTCCATAGTCAAAGGCTCGCAAACTGCAAAAACATTAATTGTTTTGGTCTTGTGCCAATTTAAGATTCTTTGGTGTTTAATGCTGTTTGGGAAAACTGCTTTCAGTGCATTAGCACCATGAAATGCTCTGATATGTGTATCTTTCATTGCAGGACAAAGAACAAAAAAATCTAAATCTAGTTTGCGCTGAATGTTCACATTTGGTGTGGAAATACTGTCGTTGTCTAGATTTGAAAGGGTGTGCTGTTGTAGCTTTGTTACTATGACTTACCGTTATAAATGATAAAATAAAGAAGGCTATACCCTTGTATAAATAGTTTAACTTTTCACATTTATACTCACAGGAACTCTGTCTGGGTACTTGTTGCGGATTTTGGCTGACTCCACACACCTGTGCTCTACATGACAGAAAAAGAAAAAGAAAAGACATCGATCAGTCTACATGCAAGCTCAGCATGCAATGCTCTTTGCATCATTAATATTCATCAGCCAGTGTTATAAACAGCACTCACTTGAATTCCCATTAATCACCACACACATCTGCATTCTTTTTAATAACTCTATCAATATATATACATATACTGTATATGTATATATAAATAAAATATACATGTATGTATATATATATATATATATATATATATATATATATATATATATATATATATTACACACACACACAGTTTGACAACTGCCAAAGCATAGATATGTGACTGAGATATTCTCATCAAATAATAAATTTTTATATCATATATGGCTTATTATCAAGTGACATGCATGCTAAATGAAAGAAAACCAATGAACACTGTTATCAAATGCACTTAAAACAACACCAGAGACAGACTGTCAGGCTAGGGCGTAATCTCGGTTTACTTTCATTATTAAGACGTTATTATGAGCAAAACAACAGGCCTGACATAAGCAAAATTGTTCTTACATGGTGAATGCTGTTAAATTAGATCAAATTAGCAGGTTGACAGAATAAAAACATCGGTTTGACAAACAGATCAATAAATACACGTATCTGTATCTGTATCTGTATCTGACAGGCCGTTGTTGACAATAACATGGCATTTTCGATGAATTACCCAGAGAATGGTCCTCTTTAAACATCCATTTCATTTTTGCAGAGGTATAGCTCGAAGAGCGATCTGTTGGTAAAAATATGTGATGATTTAAAGTCAATTAAATGTTAAAACTAAAAACGTCAACAATGTAACAGCAGCAGACATTCGTCTTCAGACGAGCCGTAATGACGTCACCCCGTTGGAGGGAGGTTACGTCACAGCGGGGCCGTACCATTCAGTCGATTCGGGGGGTTTCATACACGAATTCGCTTATGTCTACAGCAAGAACACCTCTACGCTTGCAGAAATCACACGATCGAACTCATAGTTTTTGTTTTTAAACATAAATATGATGAATAATTATCGAATAATGATTATGCACATAGTTCGCGCACTGCCGTTGCTATGGTGAACAGACGACGCTGAGCCACCGGAACCACCGCGTGTTGTTTGTTTGCTGGACTGATTAATCTTTACTAAGTTTTTGTTTTCAATAGTGTAATACTATTAAGCCAAAATGCTTTTGTTGATCGTTGTTAGTAAATGTATTTGACAACGCATGCACAGCTCAAATGATATACATGTGTTTAAATGGTGTTGTTAATTGTTGGATGGAAGTTCATATTTACCGCAATATTAACAACAATGGCCTTTTATGACGTTTACGCCCATCCTGCTTTAATAAGATACAAAACATGTGTTTGCACGAGGGCAACGCTGTTTGTCTTTGTGGTTTTATGCCTCACGTATATTTCACCTCTTCTGGTGGCTTATAGAAGTCAAGGTAAGCTGAATTTTATTCCAAGCTAATTATTTCCCAAAATCCCAAATATGGGATCAAATAAAGTGACTCAGTTTGTTGCTATGAACAGGGTTCTGGGTAAAGAGGAGCACATATGAAGAGCAGCCGGTCATACAGTTCCAGTATGACATGATCCTGATGGGAGCAACAGACACAGCAGGGAATTATGTGGCATGGAGCACATTTCCCAATTTTAATCGACTGATCGGAGATAATTTACGCATCCCATTTATCTCTGTGAGTACGAAACTTTAAAATCAAATTAACTTAGCTACCATAGCTATTGCAATAGTGAACTCTGGAAGCAAAGCTGCACTGGGTTTGTTCATTATTCAGGCCCAGGAGGAGGACAGGAACCAGGATGGGAAATCGGACCTTCTCAGGCTTCAAATCAGCATCCCACTCAAGGCAGAAGAGCAGATGTTCAGCATTCAACTCCTCCTTACCTTCTCATACCAGCTGTTTGTGTGTATTCAGTGCATTCACATAACACCACAAACGAAATGCCTCTCTATAAATTGGTCTCTCTCTGTCTGTCTGTATCTGATTAATTTGTCTGTCCATCTGTCTAGCGAATGTCTACTGTTGTGATGCAGACGCTTGCCTTCGTGCAGCACTCCTCCCCTGTCCCAGGTTCTCAGCTCTCCATCTGTGGAGACCTGAAGCTAAACCAGCGAACTCCTCTTCCTCACCGAGGCTTACATAGTACCTACAATGTGAGTATATCTGAACAACAATTCATTGATGCATGACCTATTTTGATATACAAATTAATATGGTGATTTATCCATTGCTGGAACTGAAGCTTTGATCCTGAACCGGTTTGACTTGCAATGCCACTGTCATGTCAAATGTCTGTCAACAGGAAGATCGTAAATTAAAACATGAGCAATGGAAATAAATGTATTTGCATAGATTTTACAGTCCTAAATTCTAAATGAACAGAATGATGGCTTTCATATAAGCAGGCCTATGTTGTCAGAATATGATTTATGTGAATAAACATAAGGTTTATTTTGGATTGCCTCTTCCAGGTATCAGTGATTGATGGATCCAGTCCGTTTGCGAGTAAATATGACCTGGCCAACATCATTACACTCTATCAGCAGAGAAACTGTAAGATTATGAACCTGTTCTGAGAAAAGCAAAACATATTCATAGACAGATGCATTTTATTATTATTGTTGTGAGTATGTGTTAAACCTCTCTCTTCCTTATTTTTACATCATTGCTTTCAAAATTACAGATTTGTAGTCACTATATTTCTCAACGCCTACCTTTAATATTTACTCCAGAATGTTTTGAACTACATGATCACCTAATTTGATATAATTAAGCCGCGTTTCCACCGCAATTACCAGGAACTATTTGTCCCAGGAACTTTTTTCATAGGAACTATTTTTGCCCCAGAACGGTTGCTCACTGCGTTTACACCGTGGACTAAAGTACCGGGAAGATTAGTCTGGTGACGTTGAACTGCGTGCGACTGCTCCTCCCAGTCTGCGCGTACTTGTTTTGAGTTTTAAGTATTGAGGAGATTCAAGCTGTGCTGCTTTTGTGTGCGATCTATTGGTTTACTAACGAGGTAATTAACAAAACGGCAGAAAAGAGACGAACACTAATACCAAAGCGTATTCATTTCAGAAAGCTCGTAATGCTAGATAGACACAACGTTTGTTATCAGCTATAGCGGACATGACCGTGAGATGGATGGGACGAACGCGCGCCATCCGGCAGAGAGAACAAGGTAAAAGAACCAATCAGCATGTTCAGCGCACAAGTCCCACCCCGAAAGTTCCTGAACTCTGAAAAAGTACTACCTCGCCAGCAGGGACTTTCTGGGGGGGAAATTTTTACCCGGAACTTCATTTAGACCCTGGTTCCTGCGGTGTAAACACACGGAGTACCACCCCAAAGTTCCTAGTTCCTGGGGAAAGTTCCTGCGGTGGAAACGCGGCTTTAGATGATAAACACAGAAATGATCATGAAGCTTATATATTCTTGAAACCTTATTTGTCAACTCTTTCTGTCAATTTAAAACGTCAACCCATCATAAGCATGCATTATGTGTTTCTTGGTAATGTAGGCATTCCTGTGCTAGCGCGCTGCTTTTGTTTTAGCCGAAATCTTTTTCTCACACACACACAGTGACAACTCATCTCTCCGGCGTCATTCCCGTGTGGACCATGGGAAGAGCTGCGAACGCTCCATTCCAGATCAGTGCTCAGATCAACTATCCAGTAGAGACTATTGCATATCCTTTATAAGCTCAGTGTGTGTGGGTATATAATATGACAGGAATGGGAATGAGAATGAGATTCTGAATATTCTCTCTCTCTCTCTCTCTCTCTCTCTCTCTCTCTCTCTCTCTCTCTCTCTCTCTCTCTCTCTCTCTATATATATATATATATATATATATATATATATATATATAAATATATACACTCACCTAAGGGATTATTAGGAACACCTGTTCAATTTCTCATTAATGCAATTATCTAATCAACCAATCACATGGCAGTTGCTTCAATGCATTTAGGGGTGTGGTCCTGGTCAAGACAATATCCTGAACTCCAAACTGAATGTCAGAATGGGAAAGAAAGGTGATTTAAGCAATTTTGAGCGTGGCATGGTTGTTGGTGCCAGACGGGCCGGTCTGAGTATTTCACAATCTGCTCAGTTACTGAGATTTTCACGCACAACCATTTCTAGGGTTTACAAAGAATGGTGTGAAAAGGGAAAACATCCAGTATGCGGCAGTCCTGTGGGCGAAAATGCCTTGTTGATGCTAGAGGTCAGAGGAGAATGGGCCGACTGATTCAAGCTGATAGAAGAGCAACTTTGACTGATATAACCACTCGTTACAACCGAGGTATGCAGCAAAGCATTTGTGAAGCCACAACACGAACAACCTTGAGGCGGATGGGCTACAACAGCAGAAGACCCCACCGGGTACCACTCATCTCCACTACAAATAGGAAAAAGAGGCTACAATTTTCAAGAGCTCACCAAAATTGGACAGTTGAAGACTGGAAAAATGTTGCCTGGTCTGATGAGTCTCGATTTCTGTTGAGACATTCAGATGGTAGAGTCAGAATTTGGCGTAAACAGAATGAGAACATGGATCCATCATGCCTTGTTACCACTGTGCAGGCTGGTGGTGGTGGTGTAATGGTGTGGGGGATGTTTTCTTGGCACACTTTAGGCCACTTAGTGCCAATTGGGCATCGTTTAAATGCCACTGCCTACCTGAGCATTGTTTCTGACCATGTCCATCCCTTTATGGCCACCATGTACCCATCCTCTCATGGCTACTTCCAGCAGGATAATGCACCATGTCACAAAGCTCGAATCATTTCAAATTGGTTTCTTGAAAATGACAATGAGTTCGTCAGCAGCCATATCACCCTGTAGCCCAAGACTGGTTGCCCACTGAAGCTAAGCAGGGCTGAGCCTGGTTAGTACCTGGATGGGAGACCTCCTGAGAAACCAGGTTGCTGCTGGAAGAGGTGTTAGTGAGGCCAGCAGGGGGTGCTCACCCTGTGGTCTGTGTGGGTCCTAACGCCCCAGTATAGTGACGGGGACACTATGCTGTCAAAGAGCACCGTCCTTCGGATGAGACGTTAAACCGAGGCCCTGACTCTCTGTGGTCATTAAAAATCCCATGGCACTTCTCGTAAAGAGTTGGGGTGTAACCCCGGTGTCCTGGCCACATTCCACCCATTGGCTCCTGCCAATCATGGCCTCCTAATAATCCCCATCCACTGAATTGGCTCTATCACTCTCTCTCCTCTCCAACTATAGCTGGTGTGTGTTGAGCGTGAGCGCACTGGCGCCGTTGTACTGTGGCTGCCGTCGCATCATCCAAGTGGATGCTGCCCACTGGTGCTGGTTGAGGAGAGAACCCCTGATATGATTGTAAAGCGCTTTGGGTGTACAGTAGTACATATGAAAGCGCTATATAAATGCCTCATTCATTCATTCATTCATTCATTCATTCACTGTACTAAAATGGCCCCCACAGTCACCAGATCTCAACCCAATAGAGCATCTTTGGGATGTGGTGGAAGGGGAGCTTCGTGCCCTGGATGTGCATCCCACAAATCTCCATCAACTGCAAGATGCTATCCTATCAATATGGGCCAACATTTCTAAAGAATGCTTTCAGCACCTTGTTGAATCAATGCCACGTAGAATTAAGGCAGTTCTGAAGGCGAAAGGGGGTCAAACACAGTATTAGTATGGTGTTCCTAATAATCCTTTAGGAGAGTGTATGTTTGTATATGTCTTTGTTATAGCGGTTTAACCCATTTTAGTACAACTGTCATTATACGTTAATTAGGTACAATTATTTATTTGTGTATGAAATGTAAACCATTTTGTCGTAGTAACCAAGTATGAAACAATAAAAATATGCAATACATATCCTCAAATAGAGTATGTTTTACAACATTTGGATAGATTACCCATAAACTGAAAATCCTGTCCTCATATCTTTCTTCTGTGGATTACAAATGAAGTTGTTTTGAAGAATGTTTCCAAACAACATTGTTCCACAGAAGAAGAAAGCGATTATGCTGTGTTATGTTGTGACTGTTTTTCCGCATTCCTATATAGAAGAGAATTATTTGTGGGTAAATTAACCCTTTGTTGTAAAACATACTCTATTCAAGGATATATACAGGTGTAACACTAAAAGTGCAATGAAGGCAGGCGGAGACGTGTTACTAACAGTGTTGGGGAAAGTTACTTTGAAAAGTAATGCGTTACAATATTGCGTTACTCCCTTAAAAAGTAACTTATTGCGTTACTTAGTTACTTTTTTAGAAAAGTAATGTGTTACGTTACTTTTTTTCCACCTGGGCTGGGCTTGTTTTTTTATGCCAAAAAAGATATATTTTTGGCCAAATGTAAAGACCCTTTCACACCAAAAGTGAAATAATAAGCCTCAGACTGAAGGAAATGCAGATTTACTCCTGTACAGTAGAGTACAGTAGTGTTCAGTAGAGGGCATCGCTCAAACAAACCTTTCAGCTGCTGCTGTTCTGGGAAATAGAAGAAGAGGATGCAGGAGAAACAAATTTAACACTTACTTTACCAATAAAAACATATAAAAAAATCTATAGTCGTTTTTGCTTATGGTTTAACTGAAAAATCGGAGGTCAGAAGCAAGTACTTTGGTCAATAAAGATTAAATGCATACAAATTTGTTTTAACATATTTAGGTATTGGAGGTTTGCATAGTGTTCTGATTCTGCATTTCACTGATTTTATTCATTTTGAGGAATATTGAATCTTTTTTGTGCAAGTGAGATGAGTAAATCCACGCTGACATTTAATCTAGAACTATAATAACCATCATGTTTACACACAACGCCTCTGCACTTCGATTTGTCTCAACATTAGGACAGAAAAGCAGTCAGTCAATAAAGGGGAAAACAAAGTAACTTGCGTTACTTATTAGAAAAAGTAACTCAGATATTTTGTTGTAAATTTTAAAAGTAATGCGTTACTTTACTAGTTACTTGAAAAAGTAATCTGATTACGTAACTCAAGTTACTTGTAATGAGTTACCCCCAACACTGGTTACTAAGCACAGGAATATTTCATAAAACCAAAACGGAAACCCAGCAACACAAAAGACAGAGACAAGGAAACAAAAATACAAGAAACAACTGAGAATCAAAAAGACTACCAAGCAGAAACAGGAAACTCAAACTAAAGTTCAAACAGGATATTGGATACTAATACATATTTTTATTGTTTCATGCTTGGTTACTAACACCAACCATCTGGTCTACAACAAAATGCTAATAAAAAAAATAAAAATAAACTGTCTGAAGTTTCTTTCAGATAACATTATTTTGATTTTAAACACATGATAGGAAATGATCCCATTATGCTTTTTAGTTTGCGGCTACAACCTAGTCTCTCATGACATGAACACATATTGGACACATAAAGTCACTTCCTGACGTCTGTGCATTCCTAGACTTGCCTCTCACGCTTCATTTGATACACTCAAGTTTAATTTCCTTGACTGGTTTTTCTACCTATCGACCAGGCTTTTGGGAAATGATTAAGTTTGCCTGGATTCAGTATGTCAGTGTCCTGCTCATCTTTCTTTGGGTTTTCCAGCACATTCAAACATTCATCTTTCAAAACCAGGTTTTACCGACCACCACAGTACCAGCGTTTAAACAGCACAGCTCCTGATATGACCTGGGCTTCTTTTTCTTCTTTTATTAAATGATATTTTTAATCTTCATTCATTGTTGAGGACTTGTTTTCAAGTGAGTTTTTCTATATATAGTTCTCTTTGTTCAGTTCAAGCACATTCATACTGGATTTCCAGGATGCCTGTGGAGTCTCTGGTTTTTCTGGTTTCCTTCAAGTTCAGCCGCACACTGTTGCAGGATATTTTTTTGCTGTGTGGTTGTAATGTGAAAGAATGATAGAATAAATATTTCAAAACCTTACACAAAGTTTGTTTTTTAAGCATGTTCAACTAACTGATAAGATTCCAATCCAACTTTATTTGTTAAGCACTTTTAAACAACCAAAGTGCTGTACAGAAAAAATAATCACATAAGGCACACAATTACATACAACAAAAATAAAATGAAACGCCATAAACACATAAACATGAATACAAATAATAGCCACGCAATAAAGGCAATCAAAATCAGAAAAAAAACAAGTAAATAAAATCGACATATTGCTAGGTGTCAAAGGCCACAGAGAAAAGATGGGTTTTAGGTCTGTAGATTGTATAAAATGGCCTTATGCTGTTTGATTTTGAAAATCCACAAATATGATGAAAAATGTTGATTCATGATGATGAATGAAATGATGAATAATTAGTACTTAATAAAAAAATGGGGTTGGATATTTTATGTCGTTTGATAGGCTGTGTTACGCTAAATTATGTGACAAACATCCTCTGGAAAATATTGGCAGCGGTTAATCTAAGTAAACAAGAGGATATAACTGTCAATAATATGCTTTCAAACTACTGTTGAATCAAACCAAACACCACCACATACTGTGTTTGCTTTAGGCTCTTGTCTTTGTCTCAGTTTGTTCCACAGATACACATTCATGAAAACTGTATAAATGTATTTCTAATATTCTCTCTCCTAGCTGTTGTATTATCCTCTATATCCCCCAATAAGGTCAAGCACAGGAAGTTTGGCACAATGGACAGGATGCAGATGTAATGTTTTCCTGTTTCGCTCATCCTTGTTGTAACAATGTGCCACAAGCAGCTCTTCTCAAATATGGGATTTATATCTTACATAGATTTAGTTGGTGTATATTAATTTTTTCAGGAAAACTTCTCAGATACTAGCTAGGTAAGTTAGCAATGTGTGTCTTATGTAAACTACCATTTTGTAGACTACTTAAGTACACACACACACACATCTATACACGGTTTAAATGAGCTTTGTATTATTCCTAACATAAATATAACCAGATAACCATTACCAGGAGTAAAGGTATCTTATACTATTAAGTTCATTAACATATCATCTTCCAGAAGGCATAGTTCCGCCCACCTCCCCCCAGTCCCTCTTAAAGGCCACGTCTCAGCTTTCCTCATCCAGAGAGTTCACGGCAGAAACTTTATAACACCGAATACGGACACATTACTCAACAGGAGGTAAGGCATAATAGGCTATGGTTTAATAATATGCGTCTACAGTAGACATACAGTATTATAATTAGGCTATATGTATTTTAGCTAAAGTATTTGTAGGATAACTCTTTAAATGATCTGTTTGGCGGTGTAGATGAATGTGAACATGGCAGAGATTCCTCGAGGTCAGTGGAAGTTGCATGTGTCGAATATAACATTTATATTCTCATGCAGGCTATGTTAACCGCATTTAGACTTAGCAATTAAGTTATTTAAATAAGAATCCATTGATAGCCCGACAAATAAATCGTTACAAAGTTTGTGTTGGTTTGTTTGTGTCTAATGTCCCCAAACACTAGTTCCCTCTATGCGCATTTTGGAGAAATGAGTCGTTCACATGTTTGGGCATCATGGCTCCGAGGCAAACGGGTTGGTGGTGTTCAGTAATGCTGTCTGTTAGCTTGTTTGGGATCACACAAACCGTGTGTCGGAAATGTCACTTTTCAACTTTAAAAAAAAAGTATTAGGCTATTTACCAAATAGGTAAGTGTAAAGGAAACAAACGGAATCTAATCATATTATTAATTTATTTATCACACCTATTTCCCGTCTGTTTTCCCTGTCAGGTGTATTACGCTCTTAAAGCGACAGTTCACCCAATAATTAAATTAATATTACCTGGGGCTCCAAACCAGTCGTCTTTTGTGTCTTGACTTATAAAGTTTTCTGAAGCCATTACATCAGAAGATATGTAAAATAACCCACGGATTGTACGGACCGATTTTGGTTTTGCTTGGCAATTACAGGTTTTGAATAAGGGTGAGTAAATGACAATTTTAGGTGAACTATCAGTTTAAAACAAATACAAGTAACGTTTTGTTTGTGCTCACGAACACATTCCAGACTGGGCTGTTTAACACGTTTGCTATCGCTTTGCCATTTCCATTTTACTTAATATCTGTGCCTCCAGTGTCATATAGTATTGGTTTAATGGTTTTTACATAACATATTTCATTTGTTTTTTCTTCTTCTGATTCATATGATTGAAAGTAATATCATAAATATTTTTTATAACTTTCGCTGTCTCTATTTTTTATTTTGTCTTTAAAACCGCATCTCGCAGATTCAGTAGTTTAATTTTAACCTAGATAGATTCATTAGACAATAATAGCAGTGATCTCATTGTCGACCAGTGTTCATTTTATCTCCTCATTTGTAGACTCACTGCCTCCTGCTGGTCAGCGTTAGAACTCCTTTAAATAATAATGCGAGGGAAGTATCTATCTATCTATCTATCTATCTATCTATCTATCTATCTATCTATCTATCTATCTATCTATCTATCTATCTATCTATCTATCTATCTATCTATCTATCTATCTATCTATCTATCTATCTATCTATCTATCTATCTATCTATCTATTAGGGGTGTAACGATATTCGAACCGAACCGAAAAACCGCGATACAGAACACACGATTCGAATCGCGATACTCTCATTGCGTACCGAACACGCCCCTCCCCGCCCCCTGCTACCCCGGCCCCGCCCCCGCCCAGCCCGGCTCAATGGACCTCATGTCTTGTGTACAGTACACAACGAATTCAGTTTTGTAGCTAACCACCATTAACACCAAATAACAAGCTCCGTGTTTTGTTACTTTCGATAATAAGCAAGGTGTAATCTTTCAAATTTGTCTATTTGATACGAAATTCAAACAATAAATGTCGTTTTGGCGCTCTTTGATGTGGCGTGACAGATCGCTCTATGCCCACTAAGCTCCTCATTTCAAACGGCAACGCGGCGCGCGGGTAAACGCGATCATCTCTTCCTCAGTTACGGAATGGACACCTGAAGGTATGTTGAAAGATGCAGTATACTTACTGAAAGGCATCATAACTCGTGTAATCGCTCAATCAGTGTTTTAGCAGCGGAAAGACGTTAATAAAACAGCATAGCTTGTCACTAGCATTATATTTACCTCAACAGGCAAGTGATTCAGTGTCCACAACTTCCTATAAATGGTTCCTATAAATGAACTCTTGCACTAAATAAATGCACCATGTTAGCCTTTTTTTTTTTTTTTTTTTTTTTTTTTTTACTTAACCTGTTAATGATATCTTGATTATTTAATGTATGTTTAAAATATCTTTCATGAAAATGACAACTGTGTAAAGTATTATATTTCAATAACAAATTAGAGTAAAACACAAGTTAATGCAAAAACTGCCTTGTGTTCAGTTTACATGGTTTCATACAATGTGTTGTGTGTTGATTATTATATCTAAAAAATAAATAGCATCTGAATTTAGGTTAAAAGTCTAGGCTACAACCTTTAATGTTATAGTAATGTGCGGCTCCCTATATAGTTTACAGATTTAGCAGATTTTTTTTTAATCCTTGTGAAACGTTTAATTGTAATTGAATTAATTTAAAGACAAAGACAATTTTTTCGTTAAACCACTGTTTAAAAAAGAAAAGGGAAAAAAAAAAGAAGCAATTTTAGCTTTCTAAACCGAACCGAACCGAGACGTCAAAACTGTGGGAAAACCGAACCGTCAATTTTGTGTATCGTTACACCCCTACTATCTATCTATCTATCTATCTATCTATCTATCTATCTATCTATCTATCTATCTATCTATCTATCTATCTATCTATCTATCTATCTATCTATCTATCTATCTATCTATCTATCTAGTCACGTTTGAGAGAGAGAGAGAGAGAGAGAGAGATCCTAGCTGAATGTCTGATGATAAATCTTCTTACTGAGGCAGATTTTAGGTGTGTGACAGAGAAGCTAACTGTGACTTGCCTATAGTGGGTGGTTTTTATTTCTTAGATTTGATTCTGTAAATGAAGGGCATCTTATTTATCTTGCTTTGTGATTTAAGTGTATAAAGCTGGATATAATTAAATTTACTCTCTAAAGTCAATTTTACTCTCATTTGGCCCAGTTTTTAGTAATCTGATCGGATAGATCTATCTGATCCTGGATAGATAAACATAGGATTTTGAAATCCAGATCATTCTAATTCAGATTAAACACTTTGAACAAATGAGCCTTGGTAAGTGTGATCCTGGGTCCAGTTGTTAATAAGTAATCTGTTCGAAGTGGATCCAATCTTGAAAATGGGTTCTGTAATCACATTACATCCCATAATCTAATCTTGGTTTTGATCTGAATCATTATATGTTCAAAACTTTTAGATTGGGATTGTTTGAGCCAAAAATGAGGATTATCTTTGGATTTCTGCAACATTTGTATCATGTAGTACATGTATTTATTGTTACTTTTTACAAATTTATACTTAATTTGTTTAAAGGTGCTATATGTAACTTTTCTTCTAAAATGAATCCTTTTTTATTGCCTGTGTGTGAAGGGGTTGTAATCACACATTACAATGATCCACTTGTCTGGTTTTGCTATTACCTCTGAAGGCCAGTATTCCTATTTCTATGTGAGGTCTCCGGGTCGGATTTTCTGCGAAATCCATCGGATGTGACGTGCACGCGCGCTCCCGAGCCTCTCTCCTTTTTATATACAGTCTATGCAACGGCACTGCAGCTAACGACATGGAGTCTGATAACACCAAAAAACGACCTGCCTCCAGCACAACACACACTCCAACAGAAACTCCACATAAATATAAAAAACAAAAGAAAAATTGCTTTTGATGCTTTCTCCGGTGTGTTGAAAGTCTCAGTGTGGCCGTGTACCATGAGTGCTCGCTCTTGTGCTCGAGCACGCACAAGAGCACGAGCGCTCTTGTAAAAATTGGTTGCAATCTGAAACATCACCGATAGAGGCCGCTAAAAAATACATATAGCACCTTTAACCGTTACAGTGATACACACTAGGTTTTTAAGCCTTTCAGTAGAGTAAAGTAAAAACCATCCCCCAAACAGCTGTCAATATCAAACAAAAACATTTGTTACAATATAATATGAATTAATATTATATTAATATAATATTTGTAACTGTTTTTTAATCATTGTATATTAATTACATTGGCACAGTCATCAGAAATAAGCCAGTCAAAAGTATGACTGGTCCTTAAAGGAACATGGTGATGGGAAAAAATATGAGATGGGAGGAAAAACTCTTACAATGATTTTGCATAATCTCACATGTTTTGTGTTTTCCAGAGAAACTTACGCAAATCAAAAAGAAATTGAAAATGGAAGCGAATGTTTGTATGGTGTTGTTGGGGTGTTTTCTCATCAAATTAAAAACTGACCCCATGTTAACTATTCTACCTGTTGTTCTTTACAAAGTATGTAGCCAACAATTGTGAAATATAAACTCATTTGGAGCACTGGAAATCTGGACAAGTGTGTATGGGGTCCGTTCTTTGTATCTCGCTTAGGCCTAATACATCTGAGATGATTTGACCGTACGTCAACAATGAAATCCAGATAACTGAGTAATCCACGTACGAAGCACGGACCCTTGGATCAGAATGAACTGATCCAATTTTGCTTTGAAAATCCGGCTAAAAAAAAAGATTGATTACCTGATCCTGAATAGCAAAACCTGGGATTTCCTAATTTTGTTAAAGCAATAGTTCACTTAAAAATGAAAATTATGTCATCATTTACTCACCCTCAAGTTGTTCCAAACCTGTATGAGTTTTTTCTGAACACAAAAGAAGATATTTTGAAGCATGCTGGTAACCAGACAGTTGACGGACCCCATTGATTTCTATAGTAGGAAAAACATAATATGGAAGTCAATGGGGTCCATCAACTGTCTGGAGACCAGCATTTTTCAAAATATCTTCTTTTGTGTTCAGAAGAAAGAAACTCATACAGGTTTGAAACAACTTGAGGGTGAGTAAATGATGAATTAAAAGTGAAGTGAGTAAAAGTGAACTATTCCTTTAATTCTGATCCAGATGAATCTTTTTGAACAACGGGGCCCTGGTTACATCTCTTACTTTGATCAAGTATTTCCAGAAGTACTAAATCTGATTTCACTTGGTAGTTGGTACTCATTTTTAGAGTATTATATTTATTCATTGGTGTTATATACCGGTCAAAAATCAACATGAACCAGTCTGTATTAACAATTAGTACTACAATATTACTGTACTGACGCTGTTGTATGAGAACTGATCTGAGCTGGAAGATGACAATTTTTTGCAGAACTGCGTTAGAGATTAAATGAACTAGTTTAATAATAAATGATCTTTTACAAGGAACTGAATCAACACTGAACTGATTTCAACCGCCAAAGTGCGTCATTCTCCTGTTATCTCTGTAAAGATGGTTTGAAACAATCTGTATTGTATAAAGCACTAGAACAAAGGTGACTTGACTAGACACTTAGATATTGTCTCTTGTCTGCGCTATCGTTTATATATAAAAAAAAAAAAAAATTAAAAAACATCTGAGCCAGTTAAGTCCTGTCAATCAAAAGGGAGAAGACGGTTACAAACTCTGCATGAATAGGAGGTCTATTAGCTTAGTTGAAAAATGACAGCAGAGTTGTGATTTTGCATCATATAAATAAAAAGTATAATTGTATCACTTTAAAAAAAAAATCTACATAGAGGGAAGTGAAAAGTGTGGCTTAAAAGTTGAAAGCTATTATAATTAATCCTTTAAACTAGAATAATAGTTTGTTTTAAAACCTTTGTTTTTACCCGTCATGACTGATCCATTGAAGTGTGTCTGCTTGTGTTGGTAGGTCTGTAAAGTTGCCGTGATGCTGCGGTGGAGAGCGCCGAAACCCCCTGTGTTGAGTCTCCTGCTGATTCCAGCGGTCGCATGTGTGCTTCTGTACGGCTGGTACAGTCGCCCGCCTCTTCCAAACAGCTCTCCGTCTGGGGGCAAGGTGCACGTGCTGCTGCTCTCGTCCTGGAGGTCCGGCTCGTCCTTCCTGGGACAGGTGTTCAACCAGCATCCAGATGTGTTTTATCTGATGGAGCCAGGCTGGCACGTGTGGATGTCCATACAGCAAGCCGGTGCTCGTAGCCTGCGAATGGCAGTGCGCGATACGATCCGCAGCGTCTTCCAGTGCGACATGTCAGTGATGGATGCGTACATCCCCCAACCACAAAACGTCTCCAAACTCTTCATGTGGAGCCACAGCCGTGCGCTCTGCTCTCCGCCCGCGTGTTTCCTCACGGCTCGCGACCAGATTAGCAAAGAACAAGAATGCAAGCAGCAATGCGATGTGCAAGGTTTGAAGCTCGCGGAGGCGGCGTGCAGGACTTACAGCCACGTAGTGTTAAAAGAGGTTCGCTTCTTTGAGCTGGAGTCCCTTTACCCGTTACTGCGGGACCCCTCTCTGGATCTGCGCATCATCCATCTAGTTCGGGACCCGCGAGCGGTGCTTCGCTCCAGGGAGCAGTCGGCCAAAGCCCTGATGAAAGATAGCGATATAGTACTGGAACAGGCTAATATTCCTGAGAGCGAGAGATCGTACCAAATCTTACAGGAGATCTGCCGCAGTCATGTGCGCATTTATGAGACCGCCATGTTTAAGGCACCCGATTTCCTACGGGGGCGCTACAAAATGATACGCTATGAGGATCTGGTGCGTAACACGCTGGCGGAGATCGAAGCCATGTACCAGTTTGTGGGTCTGGAGATGACGGAAACTCTGCAGGAGTGGATTTACCGCATCACTCACGGTAAGGGCAAGGGATCGAAGAACGAGGCCTTCAAAATCACTTCTCGAAATGCAGAGGACGTCTCCTTGGCTTGGCGAACCACCTTACCATTTGAAAAAGTCCAGCGCATCCAGGATGTGTGCAAAGGAGCCATGTCTCTGCTGGGATATCAGACAGTGGAGAGTGAGAAAGAGCAAAAGCTGCTGGATTTAAACATTCTGTCGCCGCGTGAACGCTATCAGTTCAGCTGGATTCCTTCCAAAAGCACCACCGCTAAAGTATAGAGTCAACCCAGTGATCAAACGCCTGAAGACTGAAGGATTGTGGGGAATCTGTTCAACAGTTTTGTTCCTCTTTGCTTCATTCTAAAGTAAGAAACGTAGGAGCAATGAAACGTTAGTGGACGCCGCAGTGTTCTAGTGACCGGCAGAGAACAGGAAGTTTCTCTGTTAAACTAGAGACTTGAAGGTCTGTCCACAAACTACCACTGAATGCTGTTTTTGAAGAAAATATGTTCCAATAATTAACTTCAAGATGTATTTATTGACAAGGAAACTATTATGTTGTTATTGTTGTTTTTGTTTGTTTGTTTTTTTTTGTAAAAAAAACAACTGCATTACAGATTTACTTAGAGATGCGGGTCGAAGGGGTCTATGAAGGGATGGAGTGTTTATCTTTTTTTCACGTATAAACGTCACATAGAAATGCCATCAGCCATCTACAGGTTCACACAGACTGTTACCGCATTAAGCTGAATATCAATGTCCTCGTGAATAAAGCAGTTCATATTTGATTGTATGTTTAGATGTTATGCTATTTTAAGAATTGATGATGGTAGACTAGTTCTTGTGTGTTCTCACTGGATTTACAGTGTCCTCAGACTTGAACCTAAAAACTAAAAAAAATTCAACTTTTAAATATGTGATTGGATGCACCGTATTTCAAGTCGAATCCTTGCTGCAAGCTGCTGCAAAACCCTTAACTTAATATCCGTAAACTAAACAAATAGAAAAAGACACGCATCCAACAATAAATATATATGGGTGAAAGAGCCAAAAATAGATATGTACCATAAATGTTGTCATTTAAAAATTCTTGATTTATTTATCTAACAAAATCAGAAAAGTGACGTAAAACATTTTTCGTCACATGCTTGAAAAGGATAGCCTTGAAATACTGGAAAATGTTCCTGTGGGGAGTGAACATTTATAATTGTTCAGAGTAAGATTTTATTCCAATATATCCCCCAATGAATATTTTTACAAAACTACTGTGCCATATGTGCTACTCAGCCATCACTAGCCATTGTGAAAGAAGTGTTGAAGTGTTAACCCGACACAATGGGGTTTTTGTGTGATTATGACATGTTTGTTTGTGATAAAAACGTATGTGATAAAGTTTTGCTAAAAGGACTTTGAACCCAGACGTCAGACACCTTTGTATTTTACAGAATACAGTACTGCTTTGTTTGTCATTTTCATAAAGGGCTTTTATTTTTTGTGATATAGAATTTCTCTATACACTTGTGTTCAAATGTGATCAAATGTAAACTAATTGATTGAGGTGTTGCAGTTTCATGAGATTGTTTGATTTCAATGGGAGCTGGTATTTTATTGAGGTTTGAATCACATTGATTTATATTCAACATGTCAGACAGTGACCATTAGTTGAAGTGTAAATAAAGATCACAAGATCAAGAGTCTATTCAGATAACAGAATATATTTGTTACCTGTTGTGCTCAACAGGGAAGTTTGATAATGTATCCATCACAATCCCTTTTGTTATGAAAGATTTTAGAAAAAAATAAATCATGGTACACGTTTAGTATTTATGCTCAGTGTTAGTAAGTCGTCTCTAGGTTTATGATTACTGTTGGTGTTTTGGTTGTTTGCATATGTTCAATGTAAAAATTAATTAATCTAATTAATCAATATTGCCTGTTTTGTGAAATTGAGTAAAACTGAATTTTTACTAATTAAATACCCTGCTGTAATAATGTGAATGTTGGAACGTAATTAACAACCTACAGTAGAATCACTCACACACACACACACACCCACACAAACTTGAAAGGGGTGTCAGATAGTGAGGACCCGAAACCCACATTCTAACCCCCTAACAGAAAACTGAATATTTACAATTTATAAAAAAAAACTAAATATATTTACTAAATTAATAAAACTGCATTCCAAATGGGCGTATAGATTCAGGATGAAGGGATCTATGATGGGACGGAGTGTTTCTCTTTTTTCACGGATATGTTCTCATTGAATGTGAGAAGTGAGCTAAATCTGACTCATATGTATATATATATATAATTATATACATCCTCAAATGTACTCTAAAGTTGGTTTTGTCAGATTTAGCTCACTTCTGGGTACAAACTGTAAATAAACTTTATTTACTGTATTTTTTGTAATCAAATAATTTACAGATTTCTATTCGAAAGGGTTTAAACTTTAAACTGTTTTTCATGCTTTTTCAATGAACCATAAACAGTATTGGGAAGGTTTCTTTGGAAATGTAATAGATTACGGATTACAATTTACCCTGTTTAAAATGTAATAGTAGTGTAACTATTTCAACTACTTTATTAAAGTAATGTAACTGATTACATTTGATTATTTCTCTTACGAGAGGTTTTCTCGTACTGCGTAATATCTTACGCTAGGGGAAAACCTCTTTTCCACGAGATATTGAAGCCAAAAATTATCCTTAATTTTGAATTAATGTAAAATGCGTTGCGGCAGCATGCAGACATAGGCAAGGCGGCTCGCGTGCCTATTGGCTGTCCTGCGGCAACTGCAGCAGCCTTCTGAGAGAGGCCCTTGGTGACGTCAGATCCAATGGGGGGCGCTTCGCGCTCACTACGTCACCTCCCGCCAAAGCGGGCGTGGCCTGGGCCTATAAATATAGCTCGATGGGCTGATATAATCTGGTTTTTCATCTCTTCAGCGAAGCTCACGCATCACTGGATCCGGAGTGAAGAAGCCGCGCCGTCTGAAAAAAGCTTTCTGCGGGACGAGCCTTTGCATCTGAAGCCGCTGGCCTTCATCTCGCCGCCTTCAGTCACCGTACCTGCTACGCTTTCCGGCGTTTATATCCTTTTACTCTGCCGAGTGTGTGTTCGCCGCTGCGACTCACACTCTCTCTCTCTATCTAAAAGAGCAGCGTCTTTTTAAAGCTGCCTCGTTCCTGTGGCTTGTGCCGAGGCACTCCGCCGCCTCCGCCATTAATGACGACGAGATAGCTGCATCTGTAGAGGAGGCCAGCTGCTCTATCCTGGCGTCGGACAGTGAGGATTGGGCGAGCTCTGTGGACCTCCCCCCTCTGCCCGCGAGTCGTCAGGGAAACGGGCCAGCATCGAATCCGGGCTGATGCGTCTACTCTCACGTGGCGAGCCTCGGCCTTGAGTGGGCGGCGCCCGCGCACAACCAACTGGATCGATGTTTCCTGCAAAGGTACCGCGTACCTCTGTCTCAGCAGCATTCTCCGTGGTGGACGGTGCTAAAGACAGAGGATAACACTCTCTTCCTCCAGTAGAAGAAGCTGTAGCGGCCCATCTTTCCGCAATATTTCCGCCTGGCTTTTCGCGCCGCGAAATCTGCTGCACAGGCCATTGGGCGGGAACATGGCTTCTCTCACCGTTGCTGAGAGACACCTTTGGCTGACGTTATCTGAGATGGCTGACGTTATCTGAGATGCCGGACGCGGAGCGCTCCGCGTTCCTCGACGCGCCCATCTCCCCAGCTGGCCTCTTTGGATCATCCGTCAAAGATTTCGTGGATAGATTCGCTGAGGTTCAGAAGATGTCACAGGCTATGAAGCACTTCTTATCAAAGTGCTCTAGCTTTGCAGCAGATCGCCCAAAACAGCCGTCTGCTCGAAGCTCCCAGCCACAGCCTCCGCCCGCCGCCGTTTCAGAGCGCCGTCAAGCCCGGGACCAGAGACCACGCTCTCACTCTGCCGGCCGCCGCCCCCCTCCACGTGGGCCCCGGCAAAAGATTGAGATAAAGCCCGAGGCCTCAAAGTCTTCCTAGCCCTCCTAGGAAAACAACTGTTTAAGTCTCGCCGCGGCCAGACTTCCACCGAAACTTTTCGTTTGTTCAGTTCCAGAAAATGCGACTGTTCCAGTGTATTTTGCAGTAAACAAGCCGGTACCACGGCCCGCTTGCCTGCACACAAATGCCATTTCCACGGTGACCCAGATAAATCACATAAACAGTGTAATTTCTGCTATTCCGGCCACAGCCGATGGTGTAATAAAAATGCCCACAGCCCAGTGTTCATTTCTACACACAAACACAGCCCACAGTACAAGGCTCGCACAAATAAAATCGACTCATGTCAATTGTGCATTAAATGTAGTGAATGTGCCCACAACCCAGTGCCCACAAACACTACACACTGCATGTCCCACTGTTTCTGTAAAAACGAAACCAACACACATACAGTCAGCTCAGGCCGACGGTGTTTCAGTGCAGTAAATGTGCCCACTGTCGCGCGCCCACATTCACTCACAGACATGTTAAGCCCCACGGGGCTTGCCCCGCTCGCTCTCTCTCAGCAAACTGCTATAAGGGAATTGAGCGCGGCCAGGCTGCCCACCGCGATCGGCGCGCCCCCCGCCTCAAACACTGCAGGCACAGTGTTTACGTTACAGCACACCAAAGCTCTCCTGTCGCCACTATGTTGTGAACAGAACCCAGATCTTATTCTACCCCTAGCTATTCATGCAAATGCATGGGCAAAGCTTCCCGGGGTATCAGAATGGGTGCTGAACATTATAAAAAGAGGCCATTCGCTGCAGTTCGCTCGATGTCCCCGCCGCTACACGGCGCGGGTCGAAACTACGGTAAAAACCAAAGTAGCCCATCTACTTCGAGCCGAAATAGCGAAACTATTGAGCAAAGGGGCAATAGAGCCTTTATCTCAAGCTCAGAGCGAAGGGGGCCTATACAGCAGATATTTTCTGGTACCGAAAAAAGATGGGGGTCTCAGACCCATTCTAGATCTAAGACAGCTGAATAAAGTGCTTGTGAAACGCCAGTTCAGAATGCTCACAACCAGGAAAATCCTCACGCAGATTTGCCAAGGGGACTGGTTTATGTCAATAGATCTGAAGGACGCGTATTTCCAAATACAAATAGTGTCACGTCACAGGCGATTCTTGAGATTCTTCATTTACAATGTGCATGGACGCGGCTCTCGCACCCCTGAAACTTCGAGGCATACGAGTTTTGAACTACTTGGATGATTGGCTGATTCTAGCTCGATCACACTCAGAGCTCATAGAACACAGGACCATATTACTCGAACATCTTGAGAATCTAGGTCTCAAAGTCAATTGGGCGAAAAGTTCGCTGTCTCCCAGTCAGAAAATATCTTTTCTGGGCACATGTCTTTTTTGGGTCTATGACAGCGCGATTGTCGCCAGAGCGCAGACTGAACATTCAGCGCATCACAAAATCCTTCCGCTGCGGCACTATAGTCCCGCTCAAAAGGTTTCAGAAAATGCTGGGTCACATGGCCTCAGCATCATCAGTACTCCAGTTGGGTCTGCTTCGCATGCGCCCGCTGCAGTGATGGCTAAAAGCGCGAGTACCACCTCGGGCATGGGCCTCCGGTCTGTTTCGCCACAAGGTCGATCAGAAATGCGTCACAGCTCTGAAACCTTGGAGAGCAATCGACTGGTACCAGTCAGGTGTAAACCTGGGACTTCCTCGAGTGTGAGAGTGGTGTCCACGGATGCCTCCACCTCGGGATGGGGAGCGCTGCTCGAGGGCAGACCGTTCTTTGGCCAGTGGTCAGAACGGGAGAAGTTCCTACACATAAACTGTCTAGAAATGATGGTAGTCGACAACGCGCTGAGGCGCTTTTGTCCCCGAATAAAAGGTCACCACGTCTTGGTCCGCTCGGACAACATGTCAGTGGTAGCCTACATAAATCGCCAGGGTGGCGTCAGGTCCCGAAACCTTTACAGGCTGACGGAATGCCTCCTGGTCTGGGCTCAGCACAATCTGCGCTCATTGAGAGCAGCACATGTGCCTGGTTACCTGAATTTGGGACCAGACAGACTGTCCAGAAACAATGTTCCAGCAGGAGAATGGTCTCTGTACCCGCAGACGGTCCTACTGCTGTGGGAGACATTCGGCAGAGCGCAGGTAGACCTGTTTGCGTCCCAAGAAAACGCTCACTGTTCGAAGTTTTTCTCCAAGAGCAGGGATGCGCTGGCCCATGTCGGGCCCCGCTGCCCACTCTATGCTTTTCCCCCCGTCTCGCTCCTGCCTCAGGTATTGGAACGAATCAGGGAAAACGGATGCTCAGTGCTACTTGTGGCTCCGCTCTGGAAAAACCAGGCTTGGTTACCAGTTCTGATGCAGCTGACAAGCACTGCCCTATGGCCAATACCGACGAGGAAAGACCTCCTCTCTCAGGCCAAGGGCTCGATTTGGCATCCTCGCCCGGAGCTGTGGTCCCTGCACGCACACCCGGAGGGAGTGTTAAACACGATCATGCAGGCTAGAGCGCCGTCTACTAGACGACTCTATTCCTCAAAATGGTCTGTGTTTTCTGGCTGGTGCAAAGCCAGAGGCTTTTCACCCCTAGACTGCGGGGTTACGGAAGTTCTCTCCTTCCTTCAAGAGCTACTGGATAAGGGCAGAACCCCATCCATGCTCAAAGTGTATGTGGGGGCCATAGCAGCGTTTACAAAACCCGCGACTGGCCAGTCACTGGGGAAGAACAATCTGGTCATCCGCTTCCTTAAAGGAGCTAAGAGGCTGAATCCTCCCAGACCCCCCTCAGTCCCCATGTGGGACCTTTCCACGGTTTTGGAAGCCATGAAAGGTGCCCCGTTCGAGCCAATCCATTTGTCGGACATGAAACATCTGTCATTCAAGACAGTGTTTCTTATGGCTCTTGCTTCAGTGAAGCGCATAGGGAATTTACAAGCGCTCTCAGTAAGCGCGACGTGTATGGAATTTGGGCCAAATGACTCGAAAGTCATACTCAAACCAAGACACGGATACGTGCCTAAATCCCTCAACACACCGTTCAGGGCTCAGGTTATTTCCCTGTCTGCCCTGCCGGTTTACAACGAGGAAAAGGACGCGAGCTTCCTTTGCCCAGTCAGGGCATTAAGAGCTTATGTGTCTCGCTCGTCTGTTTTCAGACAGACTGAGCAGCTCTTCGTTTCGTTCAGCGGACATGCTAAGGGACTAGCCGCATCGAAACAGAGCCTATCCAGATGGATAGTTGATGCCATAGCGCTGGCATACAGGCTTGAAGTGTCCTTTAGGTGTTAGAGCGCACTCCACAAGAGGCATGGCCTCGTCATGGGCTTGGTCTAGCGGGATTACCTTGCAGGATATCTGTATGGCGGCAGGCTGGGCCTCCCCGTCTACATTTATAAGGTTTTATAACCTAGAGGTTCCCGCCTTACAGGCTAAACTACTTTCGGTCTAAAATCAGTATTTTCAGTATCAGTAATCAGTATCCGCTGGAGCACCGCTCGCTGATCGATAAAATTACTCCATGGGCAAAAGTAAGACCCACACTGTTACACAGTTCAGGCCGAACATTTTCACCCTGACTGTGTGGAACACTGTTAATGTGATTAGCTCCCTTAGGATGCAAACTTATTGGTAATAAGCCTTCTAGCCTCTCTTCTCAGACTCTTTGTGAGTCCCTGGTGATTATGCACTATATGAGCCCCGGGCACCTGCCCTTGGAACTTTGGTGTTCGATCCCAGTACGCACGGCGTTTTACACTGTGTTCCCCTAGCATAAGATATTACGCAGTACGAGAGAACCTCTCGTAAGAGAACGTATTCGGTTACTAACGTAACCTCGGTTCTCTCTAGAAGAGGGAACGAGTACTGCGTATCTTTACCGTGCCTGCAACACGCTCTGGTTCGCTTCGGCGATTAAAAAACTGATTATATCAGGCCATCGAGCTATCGGGCATGGCCTAGGCCATCGAGCTATAGGCCTAGGCCATGCCCGCTTTGGCAGGAGGTGACGTAGTGGGCGCGAAGCGCCCCCATTGGATCTGACGTTACCAAGGGCCTCTCTCGATAGGCTGCTGCAGTTGCCGCAGGACAGCCAATAGGCACGCGAGCCGCCTTGCCTATGTCTGCATGCTGCCGCAACGCATTTTACATTAATTCAAAATTAAGGATAATTTTTGGCTTTGATATCTTGTGGAAAAGAGGTTTTCCCCTAGCGTAAGATATTACGCAGTACTCGTTCCCTCTTCTAGATTACGTTAGTAACGAGTACGTTTTCTAATTTCCAGCACTGGTACGCTGTAGATCCGGCAGATCTGGTGCTGTCACGAGGATGAGATGCAGTGAAGCCGCTGCTAAAGACACATTATACTGACACCTACTTTTGATTTAAACCCCCTTGAATGCGGTTTGCTTTCTTGTTCTTAGTCCGTGTACCTTCGCTTCTATTTAAGGACTATATTAACATGCAAACTCTTACATCATCACATTATGCCAGATTCCCATTGCCAGTGATCCTGAACAAATGTTTCTAGCAGAAATCTGGTTTCCGTAACTTAAAAACGTGCTCTTGAGTCGATGTTTGCTCCTGCATGGGCAACATAAACCCTGCTGTTGCGGAGTGAGACGCTTTAAACCAACTCAAGCAAGTATAAAGATGTGACGCATAAAAGCCAGTGAACGTGATTTCACCAAGCAGAACATGTTCCTGGATTCACATCCTTGTTAATCATCGAACAAAATACCAGTCAAATTTGAGGGATACAGTTAATGTCAAGTTTAAGCTAGAGGCTTCTACACTATTCTTATTCACTTATCGTTTTATTGATTGCCTAAATGCTGAAGCTATAAAAAAGTTAATTGGCAGGGACAAATTAGTATATGATCTTTGGTCTGATACAGGTTAAAGCATATACCTCCCTAAAAGAGACAAAATACAGTAGGCTACATATTGTTACGGGTGTGGTGCAGGTTGAAGGAGAGGCAGCGTCAAAAGGCTCCAATTCAACATTTACTAATATATTCCAAACAGGCAAACGGACAGAAGGTACACACACAAAGTCAGGTAACATTAACACACCTTACATAAACAAGAACCGACCAGTACTGATTGAACAGAGGCAAACTAGATACAAATGAACACTAACGAGGTGAGGAGAGGTGACAGTGACACAGATGATGATGATGATAAACAGGTGTGTAATGAGGGAGTGAGTTCAGGTGTGGAGACAAGGAGGATTCTGGGAAGTGTGAAGACAGTAGGCTTGTTTGAGATGAGCAAAATCTGCGCAGAACCGATCACCGGTGATCAGCGCGAGATGCATGCCGGTTAGAAATGTGTCTGAGTGCGGTCCGCCTTGCTCTGATGTCATGCCGACGTATGTCAAAAAACTCTCACGACCGCAAGGCGCACGTGTCGGATTCTGCAGTCGCGCGCAGTTGCTCTCCACCGACTGCGCTGATCAAAAGCATGATGGGATACGACTTGCTGACGACACAATGACGACTCATTGGTTTAAACAACCGTGATGTATTGTTCTCTTTTAAAATGTTTGATTTTAAAACTCTGATATCATGTTTTATGTGTATCAATTATGTGTGGATATTCCTAAACTCTCTGACAGTGCGATCTATGTGATGTATTTTTTTTTTTTTTTTTTTTAAATAAAAACACATGTCTGTATTAAAGAAAAATGATTGATAAACACGTATGCCTATTTAAATGGAATTAAATAGTACTTTGGGTGTCTTGTTCATTATATTTATTTTCATATTCAAGCAACAAAACTTAAATTACATCCAGTTTATTAGCAACACCGTGCACGGGCGTGAATCCCGTGAATCCCGCGATATCCGCCTTTGAAAGCGAGATCTGTCCGGCTTGCCTGCGCTTTTTTCACTCCTCTCACTGCAGCCGCCTACTCTCGACTCGACTATACAGTATTTCAGGCAAGGCGCATCTCAAACAAGCCTAAAGACAGGATGGTGCAGAGTCTGCAGACGATGACTGTGACACATACTGTGTACATCCAAACACTAAAGGGTTTTAGTCGTAATGGAGATCTGTAACACCATCGGTTTATTTTAAACTACATGTTTTAATAAGAAAAGTGCTACAGTGAAATCATTATCATATCTGACCCAACACTGCCCTTCTGAGGCGACAGTAAAAGTTGCTGTTTTAAAATAATGATTTACTTTGGATTTAACTTAAGGATATAACTTTGAAATAAGATCACATTTCACGTCTGGTTTAATTTAGTTGTAAGTTATTTGTTATATTTGATGTTTTGAAATAACATATTTCCCATTAGTTTACCTTTTAAAATTATGAAATTTGGATGGGTGGATGGTGAAGGGGAACCTTCTTGTTACATAAGAAACAAATTAATTTAAATAACCACAATAAATTCATGTATTTAAACCATCCATGTTTTCTATTGGTGAACGTGATTTCACCAAGTACAACATGTTCCTATATCAACCAATCAGATTTGAGGTCAAGTTTACAGGTTCTGTCAAGTTTTTTTACTCATCATTCCCTGAGATTTTAGGGAGAAGTTATAGGCAGGGCTAGGACGATTATGTTTTCAGAGAGGAATGTTGATCCAGGAACATGCCATGAGTTACAAACCATCCTTTCAGTTGTCACAACAGCACACTTCGTTTTTTGTTTTGTTTTGACTTTAATTTTTAGATTCTTAAAAAAACGTATTAACCGTTATATTCCCCCCATTTAAAAACAAAAACAAAAAACAGATATAGCCTAAACAATATTCCGATTCGAGATCCTCTTCGGTTATTTATGTATGCTAACTAGTTCCTCTGCAAGTTGAGCTGATCTGCTTCATTGGTCCAGTATGTGGGTGGAGCTCAGAAACACTTTGCAGAGGATGCAGAAAACGACACCCATCCAGACATGATGCAGGAAACTTGACCGATGCAAAAGATGCATCACACAACAACACACATGGAGGCAATATACTGTTAAGAAGTTTTTTTCACGCTTATGTTCTTTGTTTTGCTACAATTGCGCATTCCGAGAGATGTCCTTCCGCCTCCGCTCGTCTCCTCATCACTGACTGACGCTTCACCAATGAACCGCAGAATCATCATTCTGTTCTCATACACATTCAAGAGGATCCTGAGGAAACAAGGCTAAAACCCGTCCTCATCATGGCCAGATCAGCGAACAGAAGCGGGAAGGACGGAGAATCAAGGGTATGTGCTCCCGCGGAGAGAGGAGAGATCAGGGAACTGTCTCTGGAGGAGGTGTTGAAGTCTTACGAGCAGCCCATCAATGAGGAGCAGGCTTGGGCAGTGTGTTTCCAGTGCTGCAGAGAGCTGGGCGAGCCGAGAGCGCCTGCGCGACGCGTCCTCATCCGAGATCCGGCTTCCATCATCCTGCACGGGGACGGGACCGTCACGGCACTCCTGGAGAGCAGCGGTGAGCTCTTGACATAATAATAAAAAATAATAATACGTTACATTTATAGCGCTTTCCTGGGTCCTCAAAGGGCTTTACATATGGGGGAATCTCCTCAATCTCTCTTCAAAGTTTGAACATTCATTTATTCAAACTTTCGGTAACACTTTATAATAAGGTTCATTACATTAGTTAACCAGTTAACATTAACTAAGAATGAACAACACTTCTTCTGCATTTATTAATCTTAGTTCATATTAATTTCGACATTTACTACGTTATTAAAATCAAAGGTTGTATTTGTCAACATTAGTTAATGCACTGTGAACTAACATTAACAAACTGAACAGCTGTATTTTTATCAACTAACATTAACAAAGATTAATAAATAGTACTGTAATTCTAAATGTATTAGGCTACTCATTTTTTAGTTCATGTTAGTTAATAGCCTACATTAACTAATGTTAACTAATGAACCTTATTGTAAAGTTTTACCAAACTTTCCAAGAACTCAACGGTGTCCTTCAACAGGCCCTTCAACAGTTTCTTTTTCGCCCCTGAATATTTATATTATTCTATTTTACATGTATACTATTCTGAATGGATTGCATCAGCAATTAGGCTACTAAAAGAAATTGCATTTAAAACGTTTTTTTCCCCACATCAAAATAATATAATAAAGTTATGGATTTGATATGAATACAACACTGAGACAGCACTTAAATGCATCCGTATTTGGTCCTTTTAATCCCCATCCAGTAATTTTGTTGTTTAACTTATTGATTCCTGAGGTATTCTTCTGCATTATGACTTGCTCTGTTCATTAATTATGAAGTGGGTGTCTCGTGTTGTTTTGCTGAAGGCTTTGTCTTTTAAACAATGTTTTTTTTTTTTTTGATTTGCGATACGATACAACATGTTGTAAACAGCTTTAAAACTTAGCTATTGTTTTACTCTAAAATACTTCTGCATCAGGAGTGTTGGACTGACAAAATCTAGCACCAGGGGACACTGCTCTGTTTAGGTTTGACTCTCACCCTATAGTTATGGGTTCATGGATTCACAACCACAGCTTGACTGATAAAGCATGCGCTAACATTTGTCTTTTACACTGTATTTTAGTAGTATTTAGCACAGATTGTTTAAGGTAAATGACATAGATATAAGAAATAATACCACAAAAAAAAAATGTCTCAATCGCTTAGAATGTGAATGAGAACCTGGAATGAGAAACCTGGGTTCAGGGCCCAATTGTTCAAAAAGGTTTATCTGGATCAGAATGATCTTGATTTGGAAATCCCATGGTTCTTTATCCAGGATCAGGTAATGCATGACTGTTTTTCCCCCAAAGCAAAATAGGATCAGATCAGATCCACATTAACACTTTTCCAGATTTCCATGCTCCAAATGGGTTTACATTTCACAATTGTAGGCTACTAACTATGAAAAGAACAACAGGTAGATTAGTCAGTGTGGGGTCACTTTAGTGTTCATTTAGTCCATTTTCAATTTCCTTTAAACATCAGACCTAGATAGAGGCACTAAACATTGTGATGGAAAAATATGAAATTGGAGAAAAATATATATTTCAGTGCCTTTGAGCTCTCTTGCTAAAGTTTTGCATTACGCAAAAAAGTCACTTGTTAAGAACTCAAAAGTTTTGAGAGTGAATGCAAAGTTTCGTAGGAGAACACAAAACATTTGCAAGACAACGCAAAAGCATTCAAATATATTTTCCTTCCATCTCATATTTTTCCCCCTTCACCATGTCCCTTAGGGGGCTCCATAGCCTCTCATGTGACCCACAACAAAAACAATCAAATATGTGCAATAAGGGATGCAATAGTTAGAAACTGCTTTTGACTGGTTCATCTCTGATGATTGTGCCAATGTAGGCCTAATTCATATTTAGGGATTAATAAACTTTACATTAAATGTATTATTTTTGTTTGATATTGGCAGCTGTTTGGGGGATTATTTTATGGCACCAGGAAATATTTATTTACTCCACTGAAAGGTACAGCCTTAATATACAGCCTAATGCCTACTTGTACTTTATTACTTTAACGGTTAAACTAATAAAGACAAAATAAAAAATATAAATGTGTATATATTATATATTACATGATACAAATGTTTTTTTTTTTTTTACCAAATTTAAAGTTTTATTACATTTTTGTTCTTTAAATCCACCCTTCTGCTGAGATCAGAATAATCCTGCTTTTTGGATCGAAGGGGTCCCAATCTTACTAAAACTTTTTGAATAACACATAATGATCGTTTTATGATCTAATCTGATTTCAGAATCTTTTTTTTTCTTGAACAACCCATTTTCAAGATCTGATCCAATCCAATAGCTGAAATCTGATCAGATCACCTTTGAACAACTGGGCCCAGATCTCTCTGCAAAAGTCTAATTTTCTACAATTTGCACAATAACTAAATGAACATGGCTTGCTGATCAAAGCTGATGAGTTGAGACTAAATATGTCACATGTACATGTTACAGTGGGTACTCAACCAGAATAATACGTGTTTGTTGAACTCTATTTCAACATGCCAGACTTTAGAATAATGCGTAGCGCCACTCGGCGTGATGTGCCAAAACACTTAATTATAAACTTCAATATTTCATTCAAAAACATCTCAAAACGCTTTGTGACATTTTGAAAAGCCATGACTGTATTAAGGCCACTGGAACCAGGATCGTAACTGAAACGCGCTGCATGTTATCTCTCAATACAGGAGCAGAAGCGCCGGTTCAGATTTTATTGTTTGTTGTTTAAACGTGCGTGTTGCATATTTTATATATATATAATATATATATATTTGATATGGTCTATTGGTGAATTAGGCAAAGCATTGATTACTGGGGGGAAATCCCCCACCAGCATATCGCACCTTGTTACACAAACGTAGCCTATGGAACCCCATGAAGTTTTTTTTTTTTTTCTGTTTTTTTTAACAGAACTGCTTTTGAAATTACGATTGGAATTATTATACAGATTGATATAAATTCAGTCAATCTTGTGGATAATATTTGTTCCTTTGTGTAAAATGGAAAAATGCATGGAATTGTATTTTATAAGTAGGCTACTGTGTTTGGACAGGATTTGAACCCGTGTAATCTAAATTATTGAAACCTAAGTTCTACCACTCGACCACAACTTTTCTCACTGAGAATTTCCCAGAAGTTCGGTAGTTCAGCAGTCAGTGCGCGCACACGAGAGAAGCGCTCTTCTTCAATCCTCTCATTCCTCAATAGTTTAGCGTCATTGCACCTAATTGCGAGAGAGGCCTATTTTAACTTTTGATTCATAAAATGTTCTGCTCTAAAAGTTTGTTATATTCTGTTTAAATGTAGCCTACTTTTACTTTACGTTTTGCTTTCGTTTAATTTAACTGAATCTGTTAGCCTATAGGTTAAACTATTTATTTATATATATATATTTTTTTTTGTTCTAAAGGTTTGTTCTATTCTCTTTCGTTTGTTTATTTTTATTTTATTTTTTACATATTCAATCAGTCTCAACTATTTCATCCTTACTGTTAATTGACATTAGCCCGTTTAAAAATGCAGCAATTGCGGCTGTTTTGCTAAATGCCCCTTTGCGCCACCTGGCGGTCATTTCGCAAAGGACTTTGAAATGCGACTAGTTTATTTTTGCCGCGGTGGATTTGCCGCGGCACGAGTCGCGGCGGTAATAGGCATTCTGGTTGAGTACCTACTGTATATCCCATAAATATCTATGACATCATTGAATGTTTGTGATGTCAGCTAAATACTGTGTGTCATACTACTAAAATAGGAATCACAATTTCACCAATCAACCAATCAAGTTTGGAAGCATATATACATTTATGGAGCTTGCCTAAATAAAGTGTCTTTTCTATTTATGACTTTACATGTAAGAAATATGTAAAAATGGACATGCAAATGAAAATACCTACAGATGTGCATATTATTTTTCCTGTGTACTAAAGTATTGACTTATACCTACTGTTGAAATCTGTATCTAAAAGGCTTAGAAAAAAAAAAAAAAAAAAAAAAAACACATTCAGACAAAACGTCTCGGGTTATGACTATAACCCTTGTTCCCTGAGAAGGGAACGAGACACTGCGTCGAGAATCGACTCTTTGGGGACGCTCCCTTAGCGTGCGCCTCTGAAGTAAAAATGAAACTAATCCAATCCTGATTGGCGTTGCGTCCTGACGTAACATGTGACGGCATAACCGGAAGTATAAAAGTGACACTGACGCACACACATACCAGCCTCGCGATGAAGCAAGACGCTCTAAGACCTCAAGGGGCGTGGCAGAACGACGCAGTGTCTCGTTCCCTTCTCAGGGAACAAGGGTTATAGTCATAACCCGAGACGTTCCCTTTCGAGGGAACTCTACACTGCGTCGAGAATCGACTCTTTGGGGAACGAGTGCCCACTAGGCCACGCACCGAATAGGCCTGTCCCGGAGTGAAACTGTTTCAGGCACTCAGCAAGGACTAAGTACATGTGCGCCAGGCGTACTGGGAAGGTGAAGACTGTAGAACCGAATAAAAGTGTGTGGAGTAGCCCAGCCGGCTGCCTCACAGATCTCCTGCAGGGGCACTCCCGAAAGGAGGAAGCCATACCTCTAGTTGAATGAGCCCTAACAGCTAAAGGTGAAGGCATATCGCGCACCCTGTAAGCTGAAGTAATCGCCTGAACGATCCAATTACTAATCGTTTGCTTTGATGCCTTTGAAGCCCCTTCTTAGGTGACCCAAAACACACCAATAATTGGTCCGACCTTCTCCAAGAAGAGGACCTCTCGAGGTACACGCTCAAGGCTCTGACAGGGCAGAGCAAATGGAGCTTCTCTTCTTCTGCCGACACATGAGGTGGAGGATGAAATGCCTAAAGGACTGTAGATCGAGCCGTATGAGTTGGTACTTTAGGCACGTAGCCCGGACTCGGGTGCAAAAAGGCCTTCACTTTGCCAGGGGCAAACTCCAAGCAAGCTGGTGTCACTGCCAGGGCTTG